GACTGGCTGTGGGGCGGCTGCGGCGACAACATCGACTACGGCTACCGCTTCGCCAAGGAGTTCGTGGACGCGCGCGAGCGGGAGCGCATCCACGCCAAAGGCTCCTACGAGAGCGCGCGCATCCTCATGAACCTGCACAACAACGAGGCCGGCCGCAGGGTGAGTGCCCCGTGGCGTGCACGCTGCTTCCCTTTGTCTCCCCCACAACCAAGCCGGGCCTCTTCCGGCCCCTCTACCCCTCCCTCTGCCTCTCTCTATGGGTTCCTGTTTCTTTGTCTCTCTGCATCTCTGTCTCCCTTTTTCTGTCTCCAACCCCCTTTCTATCTTTTCTGCTCTCCTTCCCTCTCTCCCTGTTTGTCTTTTTTTCTCTCTTCCCTTCCTCTTGCTCTCTCCCACTCCTCCACCCCCACCCCAAGACCTCAGGCCTCTCTGGAGAGGGGCATACACTCCAGAAAGGCCTCCTGGGGGGCGGGGGGGTCAGTGCACCCTCCAGCCAAGGTGCTTCTGCAGGAGCCTGACAAAGAGCTTTCTCTGCCCCTTTAATTAGTCCCCAGTGCGATTGGCCAGCCCAGCTTGGAAGTAAAAAAGTTAGCAACATTTGCCCTCCTCCCTGGAACAGGTCTGTGGCTGGGCTGAACTTTGGGAGAGTGAGTTCTTTATCCAGTAAGTGCCCAGCTGAGAAACCCTCACCCCAGTCTCCAGGATTTACCTTTCTTTCTCCTCCCTATGTCATTAGAGAGCAAGCTTGATGGAATGAAGGCTTTTCTTAAAAAAAAAAAAAGAAAGAAAGAAAAAAGAAAAGAGAGAGAGCTTTTATAGGAAAACTACAACATTTTTCTAGTCTGACCATCAGGCCAATTGTGGGTGCCTCTGGAGGGGTGAGAGAGCCACTCAGAAGTGCCCAGAGGGGACCGAATCTGCAGGCCCTCCTGAGTGTCCCCATTCTGCTCCCTCCTTCCCCTGGTGGGGACATGAAATGCTTGTCCACAATAGTTAAAAGGACCCCTTTTCCCTGCGGGGAAGCACATGGCACTTTATGGCTGCTCTAAAATGAAGGGGTGAAAACTTCTCTTTGGCAGCATTGAAAACCAGGGTCATTATTTTTTTCACAGAGCCCCTGGGAAAGGTAGGTGCCAGGGACTTTCTGGTCAGAGATTTCACCCTTCTGTATTTTGGGGCGAGGAGAAGGGAAGATAATCACAAAGTCAAATATCCAGAACTGGAAGGAGCCTTAGGACCCTCTGGCTGTACACCCCCATTTTAAAGATTGGGAAACTGAGGCCTAGAGAAACACTTCATGGCTGTGGAAGAGAATTAATGGAGTGAGATATAAACCAGGTGCTTTGTGCTTTTTTTAAAAAAATTAAACTCATGCATCACAGCTTAGGGATGAAGGGATATAGCTTTGGAAACAGCGAAATCTAAAATCCAGTTCTGTCTGTACCTTTCTGTTTCTGAGCCTCGGTTTCCACATTTCCATATCTGTTCAATGGCCATGGCATTAACTTGAAGTTATCTTGAGCACTAACAGGGATCATATAGTAGGTTGAACCATGTGAAATACCAATACGTGACTATTTCTTACCTACAAAATAACAACTTCCTATGGTTCCATCGAAGGTCTTCCTTAGTGTTGGCCAATAGTAAAGTGCTTGATAAATGATAATTACTAAACATTAGGAAATAGAAGATATAGACCATTGCAGCTATCCTACCTTCTCGGATTTGATGCCAAACATTTGGTGGTGTTGGGGAAGGACTGAACTCTGCAGATTTTTGCCTGTGCTGCCCTGAGGGGTCAGATAATTGCTCCAGAGGGAGTGTGGCCTCTCCTGCCTCAGGCCGTCTACCATAGGGTGTCTGAACTCTCTCTCCCCAGGATGGCCCACCCAAGGCTGTGCAATGGGCATGTCAACCCTGCGGTCTCTGGGAGCCCGGAGACCTTGCTCTTGTGCGCATCAGAGACGCACACCTTTACTCTCTGCTGCAGTGGCCCAGCGCCTCAGACAGGACATGCCCTGGGGACAGAGATGTGGCTGCTGCTCTGGGCCCACTCTGCCCATATTCGGTGCTTTCATCCGTCTTGGAAGATTTCCTACACTTCTCTCATGTAGAAAAGTCAGCAGGGGCTTAGCAACCAAGGAGAACAGGTCAAGGGATTTCCAAGTGAAGGGAGGGAATTTTGCAGAATTGGAAAAGTACCTTTAATATTATAATTTCATTTAACATCTGCTTTTTTTTTTAATATTGAAGGATTCTCCCCATAAGTTTTCTAATTGGAGCAGTGAGCTGAGCGTGTATCCTGGCGGATGAGGTTACATAGAAGACAGTTTTTCTCCAGGCTGGTGGGGGTGGGGCAGGGAAGTTGGACACTGTGCCAGGAAATCCCATTAGCATCTCCTCGGGACATAGCTTTTTATTTTCCTCATGGGGGAGTGAAGGTTAAATATGTTTGCAAAACCCTTCCTCAGACTAGCTGTGCCTGAAACTCTTTATGCCAAGGGAACACACTTTGGCCCCCTTTTTAAGACAGCCCCTGCAGAACCCCTGGAGGAAGGTCGTGGCTATGCTGGGTGGAAGCAGCCTTCTAACTCACTCCAGCCTCCAGGTTCCTGCCTACAGCACTCGGACTCTGGAGGGTAACCGGCCCAGGCACTGTGGGCCGTCAGGGCTGTAAATAGGCAGCTGCCACCTCTCAGACTCTGGGCACAGTGCTCTGAGGCCAGACCGGAGGCTCAGGTGATTGGGAAGGGCCCAGATGCCATGCCCTTGTCACCCTGGAGAAAGACCAGAGTTACTGATTCCATCCTGCACGCTAAGTACTTTCAGAGCATCCTCTAATTTATCTCGACGACAGTGCTGCTAGCTGTGTGACCTGTGCAGGCCACTTTCCTTCTCTGTGCCACTGTGTCACCATCTAATCCAGCCTATGTGATAACCTTGCTGGGAGGATTAAATGAAAGAAAAGAATGTAAAGGCTCTTGATACAGTGCGTGGTACACAGCAATAATAGTAATAGTGAGTAGAGATCTGAGCCCTGATCCTACCTGGGCTGGACCCCTCCCAGTCTTATCAGTTGGGTACCCATAGGCAAGTCCCTGAGCATGAGCTTGGAGCCCAACTGCCCGGGTTCAAATCCTGGTACCCCTACTTCCCATTAGTTGGGTAGGTAACTCACCTCTCTGGGCCTCATTTTCCTTCTCTGTGAAATGGGAATGATAATAGCACTTCCCTCATAGGCTGGTTGTGGGGATTAATCCAGGTGGTGCAGGTAAAGAACTGCTCACCATCTCTGGGGAGAGCGTTCAGGCTGCATTGGTTGCTGCTAATGTTGTTTCCCTACAAAACAGAGGCAACTGGAACACACTTTTCCTGTTCCTATTAAAGAGCTGTGGTTGTTTATTATGATGATGTGTAATAATGAGGGGCTAAGAACATATTTATTTTGGTGACTGTTTAAAGCAGGGTGGGGAACGTCCGGCCCAGGGGCCATGTAAGGCCCACGAAATCATTTGGTCTGGCCCTGCCAGGGTTGAGTTAATTAAATGCCTGACCAAATATAGCAGGCTAATTTTTAAGTTGATAATTTTGTATGGCCTGCGAGTGATGTTATAAATAGCCAAATGGCCCATAGCAGAAAAAAGGTCCCCCACCCCAGTTTTAAAGAAAGCAATAAAGACTTGAGGTAGTGGAGAATGAGGAGGAAGTAGCCCAGCCCCTAGTGTAGTGGGGAGCGTGGCTCCATGGGGAGCTTTGTAACATAGCCCTGCCTGCACCGGGGCACCCTCCATGCATTTGTAAACTGACTGTCCCATGTCCCCACAGACAGTGTACAACCTGGCCGATGTGGCCTGCAAGTGCCACGGGGTGTCCGGCTCCTGCAGCCTCAAGACGTGCTGGCTGCAGCTGGCCGACTTCCGCAAGGTGGGCGACGCCCTGAAGGAGAAGTATGACAGCGCGGCGGCCATGCGGCTCAACGGCCGGGGCAAGCTGGTGCAGGTGAACAGCCGCTTCAACTCGCCCACCACGCAGGACCTGGTCTACATCGACCCCAGCCCCGACTACTGCGTGCGCAACGAGAGCACGGGCTCGCTGGGCACGCAGGGCCGCCTGTGCAACAAGACGTCCGAGGGCATGGACGGCTGCGAGCTCATGTGCTGCGGCCGCGGCTATGACCAGTTCAAGACCGTGCAGACCGAGCGCTGCCACTGCAAGTTCCACTGGTGCTGCTACGTCAAGTGCAAGAAGTGCACGGAGATCGTGGACCAGTTCGTGTGCAAATAGTGGGCGCCCGCCGCTCGCCTGTCACCCAGCCCCGTTCCCAGGACCCACTTATTTATAGAAAGTACAGTGATTCTTGTTTTTGTTTTTTTTTTAAATATTGTTTTATTTTCCCCCGAGAATTGCAACCGGAACCATTTTTTTTTTCTGTTCCCATCTAAGAACTCTGTGGTTTATTATTAATATTATAATTATTATTTGGCAATAATGGAGGGTGGGAACCAAGAAAATATTTATTTTGTGGATCTTTGAAAAGGTAAGACTTCTTTTGACGGTGGAGGATGAGGGGGGAAATAACACATACCCTGACTTAGTTGTGTGCACATCTAGAGGGTAAAGGAAATACGTTTTCTTTTTGTCAACTGTGGGGTTGTATAGGACAGGTAGCATCCAGCTGGAAGGGGTTGGTCCAAGTCTACACTCCATTTAGCCTCGATGACCAAAATGAATTGTAAATGCTCTGGTGAAAGGTCTTGAGAAACAAACGAAACAAAAAAAAAATGAGGCCCCCCTCCCCTTTCTCCAGGGGCTACCAGCCTGAAACATTTTCAAAATGGTAATTTAAAATGTAAGAGCGAGAATCTCATTTCCCGCAAAGAAAAAAAAGTATATCATGTATCTCATGCTTCTCAAACATTCCATGCGCAGATGGTCCCATTCTAACAGCTACTGAAACTTGGGGAGCAGGGAGGAAAGCCTCAGAAAGGAAAAAAAAGTTAAAAACTCCTATATTAAGACTGATTTGAAGCTGTTACAGGAATTAGGTTATCAGATTGGGAAAGCATCCCCGAATGACTCTGGGTTGTAGACTTTTTGTTTGGAGAGGGGTGGGGGCGGTTGGCTTGAATCTAAAGGAAAATATACTGTAATTTTCTTAGGGATACTTGGTTAATAAATGATAATAATCAAAATAATAAATGGATTCCATTCACAGACCTTCCGCCCAAACACCAAGGTAATTGAATGCAGTTCAGCGCTGCACCAGAGCAGAAAACCTGATGGCAGGGAAGGAGTGGAACCCGCCCTCCCCCTTGACCCCAGCCCTGGCTGAGCCCTCCTTGCCTGCTGCGGAGGTGAGGCCACCCCAAGGCAGCTCCACCGGGTCCCCTTGGATTGCAGGACAGGAAATGAACCATTAGGAGCTCCACTTGGAAAACAGTTGCTACTTAGGGATTTTTTCCCCCCTAAAACTTGGATTCTGAGGAGCCGTAGTTTATGTTTTAATGGCATTACTTGGCTGATGGAGTCCACAGAGGTGTTGCAGCATGTCACTGTTACGATCCTGTGTTTAGACGCTGCACTTGAGCTTTTCCTATGACACTGCAGGTGAACCCTACAACTGTTCCTACTGGACCGGAGCAGTTGCATGTATGGGGGTCAGGGGGGAGGGTGTGGTTTAATGGTGCCTGATATCTCAAAGTCTTTTGTACATAACACACACACACACACACACACATATATATATATATACATATATATGTATATATAAAAATATAAATATTATTATATCTCAGTGCAGCCAGTGATTTAGAATTACACTTTCCTCTGGGGTTATTTCTTGGTCTAGAACATTGTTGTCCTTCATTGTGATTCATTGGGATTTTAAGAAGGGGTTTTCGAGTTGAGCATGGGCTGTGGCCCTGATGTGATGCTACCTTGAGCATCAAGAAACAGCCTGGTGCCTGAGGAATCTGGAAGGCCTTCCTCCCTGATATGCATGTTGGTTTGAAGATTTCTTTTCTCTACCCGCCCACCCCTTTTCTCCAGCCTCCATTTCTGTACACTTTCCTAAGAGGGCATTACTAGTTCATCATAGTCTTGGAAATGAAGAGAGATTTAAAACTAGGAAGCATAGTCATCATTTCTCTCTCCTTAGTTCATTTTGCAGAGTGGAAACCGGTGCCTGGTAGATTTAGTAGTCCCTGTTTGAGTCCCTAAGGAAAATCCAGCTCATGACATATACAACTAATTTTTAAAACAGGAAACCTCTTTCCACAAAGTGCCATCCACCGTGTTCTTATCTCAGACTTGCATGATTTGAGAAGTTTGGAAAGATACACATCTCCTACAGCCGTCATGGGCTTGGTGGCCTTCGCATCACCTCAGCCATGCCTGGCTCTTAATTTATTGCACAAGGATATTCACTTCCCCTCAGTTGCAGTGAATTGCAAGCAAAAGATCTTGAAATTAAAAAGCACTAATTAGTTTAAAATGTCACTTTTTTGGTTTTTATTATACAAAAACCATGAAGTTTTTATTTGCTAAACCAGATTTTGTTCCTTCTTAGTGATTCATGTTTATGAAGAGAGTTGAGTTTAACAATCCTAGTTTTTAAAAGAAACTATTTAATGTAAAATATTCTACTTCTCATTCAGATATTATGTATATCTTCTATGGCCTTTATTCTGTACTTTTAATGTACATATTTCTGTCTTGCGTGATTTGTATATTTCACTGGTTTAAAAAACAAACATCAAAAGGCTTATGCCAAATGGAAGATAGAATATAAAATAAAATGTTACTTGTATATTGGTAAGTGGCTTCAATTGTCGTTCAGATAATTCATGTGGAGATTTTTTGAGAAACCATGAGGGAGAGTTTAGGGTGACTACATGTTAGCATAACAGAAGAGCGGAGAATTTTTTTTTCTTTTCCCCAAAACCAAACTATTTGGAAGCTTCAAAAGATTTCTATATGTAACAGAACAAAAGGGGAATTCTCTTTTCCTATATATGTTCCTCAAAAAATCAAGCAGATGGCGCAAAGCTGGGTATAGGATTGCTCGCATTCTTTTAGCATTATGCATGTAACTTAATTGTTTTAGAGCGCGTCGCTGTTGTAGCATCTCAGAGAACTGAAAGGCACATGCTTTTACCCAGGACCAGGGTTTTAGTCCCCAGAAGTGTATCTGTGTTTACCACTGCAAGGATTGCACCTCGCTATTTGAAGTTACTGTGGACTGGAGTGTCTCTGTTCCCCTTTGAGAGTCATTTCGTGAAAAGCAAGCCTCAGTCTGCAGAGAATGAAAACTCATGGGAAACTAAAGGCTCGTTGTGTGAAGTGCAATTAATACGGGTTCTCGTGCTTTCCGAAAGGGCACGCCGAAGTCTGGCCAGCGCTGCCCAGATTGATATGTTAGCCCTTTGCTTTTTTTTTTCCCTTGCTTTTTTTCTGGATAACCTTGTAACATATTGAAACCTTTTAAGGATGCCAAGAATGCATTATTCCACAAAAAAACAGTAGACCAACATATAGAGTGTTTAAAATAGCATTTCTGGGCAAATTCAAACGCTTGTGGTTCTAGGACTCACATCTGTTTCAGTTTTTCCTCAGTTGTATATTGACCAGTGTTCTTTATTGCAAAAACATATACTTGATTTAGGAGTGTCAGCATATTTTTTTTCCTTCGCATCCTGGAACGCATTCAAGATCTTCCCAATACAGGAAAATTAACAAAAAAATTTGTGTATAGACAGCAGCAAGCAGAGCCATGTTCAAAACAGTAATTATGGACTCACGTAAGAGGAAGACTGCTTTAAGTTTTGGTTCAGTTTATCTGTTCTGTTCGCTGCTGACCTCCTTGACGGAATATATTTTAGTAGCCTACCCAAACCCTTGGCTCAGACGATTTTGCCAATACCAAGTTTCAATTTGTTTTTGCAAACCATTTTGCAAGCCACTGGAATGATCCAATATGACACTCTCACAGGATAACTGTTCCAAATGAGAGACTGGTACTGGCCGACTCCAAGAGATCGTTAGCAAAAACAGCCCCCAAAGGCTGAGTGGTTCCAATAGAAGTAGAGAGCGACATAGAGAAGGTCCTTGGAACTTGGAGCACGTCTGTAATGCCAATACGCACCAAGGCATAGGTCTAAAATACTGCTTGATCACTGTAAATGGTACTTTTAAAATATTTATTTTTTTAGAAAGTATTTTTTAGTCTCCCCTCTCTCTATGGGATGGTGAAAAACAGATGCCGTCTTTTGGAAGTAAGATGATGAAATGAGTTTTTAAAACAGGAAACAGCAATGCAGGAATTACAACTTAGTAAAGGGATCTTCTAATTTACCTGTTCATACAAACTTTACCCTTAAGTCTGGTAATTGGATGATATTTTATTTCAGTGAAACCTCGTCTTGTTAGCCAACTTTTTTAAAAAAATGGATATGGAATGATTAAAGCTTGGGTATGATTTTTTAAGACAAAAATGTATCAATTTGAATCAAGAAGATTTAACTCAAATGCTGTCTCAGTATTTCAAAGGCAAAAAAGGAGCGAGGAAAATTGCATCTGAGACCAGTTTTATATGCAGTGTACAATTTGCTGGGCTAGAAATGAGATAAAGATTATTTATTTTTGTTCATATCTTGTACTTTTCTATTAAAATCATTTTATGAAATCGGCGCAGTCATGTGTGTGTTTAGCAGAGACGGTGTTCATGGCCGTCAGAGTTGGATGCGTGTGGGCACGGAGCACAATTATGGTTTAGGGCATCCAGAAGAGAACAGTCACCTCCCAGGCATGTAGTTGATAATTATGGTCGAATCTCCAGGATTTATTTTGTATTTTAATGCTCATTTTCCTGTTGGCTATTGCTAATCTTTCCATTTCTTATGTGTTCTGCTGCTGCTAACATAGAAGGGTTGTGTTAGGAGATTATTCAGTGTAGACATTTAGCACAGTGACATGGGATTATGATGACATTCGAGGGCAAGAGAAGAAAATGATGTGAGGAGAGAAAATAAGGTTCTAGATAAACGGACAGAATCACCTGGAATATTCCGCTGCTGGTTTCTTTCTTGTTGCAGTGGCTGCCAGCCAGGTGTTTAGATGAGAGGAGCTGCTCAGCCTCAGAACCATTGGGACTCTGGGCTGGGTAATTCTTTGTTGTGGGGGTTTGTCCTGTGTGACTTTTAGCAGCATCTCTAGTCACTACCCACTAGATGCCAGTAGTACCCCCCATACGTGACAACCAGAAATGTCTCCAGGCATTGCAGAATGTGTCCCAGGGAGCAGAATCACCCCCAGTTGAGAGCCGCAGCTTTAGACGGAGGGACTGAGGTCTGTGCACTCTGGAATGCAGGCTAACCCCAGTGCTGGACTGTTACTTGCCTAGGTTGGCTGATAAGCCAGGGGAGTCCCTTGCCAGTTTTCCTGTGTAGAATACAGAGATATAGCATCTTCCACAGGGCAGATTGGCTTAGCAATCAATAACAGGCTCTGGAGCCAGACTGCCTGGGGTCAAATCCTGCTACTGCCATTTGCTGTGTCACCTTGGAAAAACTGTGTAGCCTCTCTGAGCGTTTGTCTTTAAAACGGGAGAGACTATCGCACCTACCTCCTGGGTTGTTGTAAAGATAAAATGAGTTAACGTGTTTTGAATGCTCAGAGGAGGTTCTGGTGCACGGTAAGAGCTCACTAAATGTTAGCTAGGAAGGCTAGAATCAGTCTGAAGACCAAGCCCAGGAAATGTGGGCCAGTGTTGTTTAACATACCCAGCCGTGGTTAGCTCAATGCTAGGAAGGCCCCCCGAGTGTTCCGGGAGGTTGCAAACTTGTGGCCTGTCTACATCACATTTCCAGATGTATTTTGTTTGACTGGCAAAGTATTAAAAATACTCAAATTAGCTGCCAGCATTGAAAAGATCAGTATTTTCACTTTCAAATGTGGATTCCTGGTTTGAAAACTGGGAAGAGCTGGCCACCTGAATGCATCGCATCCTGGGTCCCCTGTAGCAACAATCAGCTGGTCCAGGCATCATTGACCCTTTGAGACAGGGCTGAGCATGTCCGATCAGTGAGCCATTCATGACACGGAGCTGACCCCTGCAGGCTCATGCACTTGTGATGGCTGTTAAAGATCTTTTTCAACCTCACCATTGCTGACATTTGGGGTTCGATAAGTCTTGTTT